ACCACTCAGGTGCAGATCTGCACTCTGGAAGGCAGGTGTCTCTCTAATTATGAGCACAATTTGGTGTGCACATCTTGATCTCAGAAGCAACAGGTAATACTAATGACCTGAGATGTCGTCTACCCACTTTTGTGGGCACAGCTCTCTGGTTTAACAGGCCAACTACCACACCATGTATAGGAGTCATCCTCAGACCTGGTTTCGGCTGGGACAGAGTTAACTTTCTTCACAGTAGCTAGTGTGAGGCTGTGTTTGGGATTTGTGCTGAGAAGGCGGCTGATAACATACCATGTTTATAGTTGCTGTCAGGACAGTCAAGGACTTTCCAGCTTCTCTGCTGTGCCAGTGTTTGCAGGGGCAGGAGAAGCTGGGAGGGAGCACAGCCCCAATTACCAGCCTAGGATTCAACCTCAGATTTAGGATTTAGACCCAAACTGGCCAATAGTCTATTCCAGACATGCCCAGTACATAGATGAGGCTCTGTCCAGAAGTTTTCTCTCTGCAGGCTGCCTCTCTCTCTCTCTCTGGGTGGCCCCTCTCAGAACTCTCCCTGCTCTGGGATCATTAGCAAGGAACGGGCTGCACCTTGGTCATCAGGCGGTGAGCAGTTTCACTGTGTATCACTTGTTTGTATATATCACTATTATAATTATTATTTTCAATTTTATTGTAGTTTAGTTATTAAATTGTTCTTATCTCAACCCACGAGTCTCTCTTCCCATTACCCCTGTAACTCTGTCCCCATCCCTAGGAGGGAGGGTGAGCAAGTGGTTGTTGTGATATTTTGCTGCTAGCCAGCGTCAAAACCATAACACCCTCACAAAGATCTGTTTATTTACATGACTGCTAAAATGGTATTTTCCATTTCTCAGTCTCACTCTCACAGACTTTTTAATTTTAGCTCCATGCTATAGCTTCTGGAAGTAGAAAACTTCCCAGACAGGCAGAGGTGACGCAGGACATGCTGGGATGGAGATGGATAGTCCCACTGGCCCTTTCAGCCGCTGCTGAAATGTCCCAATCAATGCTAGAAGGGATAGTGTGACACACACAGGCATCAGCCATTTCTTAACAGCACCCACTGCACGAGGCACATCGCAGCTTGTGCGATGGAAATATCCAGCTTCTCCTCTTGCCTTCACGGCAGGACGAAGACAGAGTATCCTGCAGGTCTCACAAGCTGCTCTTTGTATTTGGGTAAGGGACTGTTTATGTTTTAGATGTTTAGATCTCACCCTGAGATGATGGTATGCCACTGATAATTATAATCCTGGATTTATTTTGTATGCCACTGATAATTATAATCCTGCATTTATTTTAATTTGACATTTTTTGGGACTGACAGGTTACTTAAGTACATCTTTCTCCACAGAAACTATAAGGTTCATTCTCAGCCTCAGCCAGCAGGTGCCATTGCCACCTGCACTGAGGCAGCCTCACTGCTTCCCTCCTTTCCCGCAGAGATTTAACCTCTGCACTGACTGCTGGCCAAGTGCATCTGGGCACCTCTTCATGCAGGTCTTTCACACTGCATCAGCTGATTAAGTCTCAGCCAGGTGTTTGTAGAGCAGTTCTTGCTTCAGCGTCATAAAAACACGTCTTCAGGTACATATGCTTTTTCTCCGACTGTTCCTTGCTGCTTCTTCCAAACATGCTCACCTTACAAGATGGACTTGTCTGACTCTTGTTTTGCTTATTGCTGACTGTGCTAGAGCAGATGTCGTTTTTCCTACCCTTCAGCTCACCACTGAACCACACCAAGGTAGGGAGATCAGAGGTGCAGCAGCAAGACTGGTTTGGGTCCTTTGGGGTTTGGGAAGAGCCCAGTAAAGCTGGGAGAAAACAGGCCAATTCAGCTGTAGTAGGTGGAATGAGCCTTGCCTGGCTTGGCTTGAGTGCAGAGGAAGGAACCCAGCAGCCACCAGTTGGTTCATGTTCCTGGCCTCACTGACAGTTAAATAGGAATATATACAAGTCCCTTAAATACGCCTGACGTTCACATCTCAAATATAGAATAATCACCCTCTACTTACCTCCCTCCTAAGGTCTTTTATGTTGCTTTGGTGATGCTTTTAAAGAAATGATTTCTTTGGATTGAGGAGACAACACAAGCACAAAGTGTCATTGCTGAGCAAAAGAGGATTTTGTTACTGCAAATGTCTCCAAATGATGTGGCATTCAGGATCATAAATATAATTCTCCTTTTATTGTGCTTTTATAACAATGTAGAATGCAGGTTCCTCTAAACAATGTTGGTAATAAAAGCAGCTGATCAGCAGGGAGAAGGCACTCATTTTAAGCCCCATTAAATTTATCAAAGAAAGCTGTGTATCAATAGAGAAGGGCATTCTATTTTCCATCTTCTGAGCATTACAAATAATGAAGAGAAGCTTACAACTAGGAAAATATTTTCAGTAAAGCCTCTTACCACAGGAACAACATTCTTAGTAGTTTGAGAGGGAATATAGCATAAAACTTCTGTAGTCTAACTATATATATACCAGACCTCAAAAAATTCCAGTCCTCTGCTGTTAAATTACAAACTCCTTTCCAGAGGACTAACTGCTGCATTGCAAGGGAGACCTAGGGGATAACTAAAAAAACACAGTTAACCATTTCCTACTGCTATAGTACTAAGTTCTCTATACAGCAGGGAAGGTAATATACATAAAGGTAAGCAGGAAAAATGAAGTAGTTGGTTGTGGTCAGGAAGAAAGTTATTTGTGGTTAAAAAAACCAACCAAACAAAAACTCCACAACCTAAATTTTACTATGAAAGACATAATGTATGCCATTCCCATCAAAAAATGTGAAAATGGACTTAAGCTCTCACAGAAAATACCTGGAATGGCTGTAGCCATGGCCAAGATTTGCTGTGCCTCAAATAAGGCCCCAGGAAAAAGCATTCTACTTAAAGATACAGAAATTAATCTCTGCCACAAAGTGTGTGGCACTAGCAGCAAGTGCCATAATTTTACTGGTCTCAGGATTTGTGCTCTTTGCAGGTAGTGTCAGTACTTTATATTAAGCAGCATACCTTTGGAGATAACTTGAAAAACTGGGGTATGGTGCTTTGAATGTAGGTATTAACCTGAATACCATCTCCTACTTGTAAACAAATATTTTGAATATTCTGAATTTATCTTATAGAGTTATAGCTGAGGTCACAGAGATCGACAAAGGACAAATAGAGGACAAAAGTATAAAATACATAAAATAATAATAAGATGACTTAGATTTGTGTGAATGGGCTTGTGAAACAAACAAACAAAAATTTCAACACAAATAAAATCCAACATATTGCCCATTCTCAATCCACCTGCAGTTATATCCTAGCCCATGGACCTCCAGAGGATCCGGTGTTATCTGAGTTTATTAGATTAATCTGGGGATCTATATTGTGAAAACGCAGTATCCCTCAGACAAAAGCACAGGCTTTTCCATCCTCCTGGGAAACAGGAGCATCACCACAGTCACCTCTGAGTCCCTCCTAAACTTACCAATGCAGTCTTTTTTATTCCAGTGCAGTTTCTTTCCAGGTGGACAGACACACTCATAGCTCCCCATTGTATTAAGACACCCATAGTCACAGCTACCATTGCTGATACTGCATTCATCAATATCTGAAAATGTGATTAATGTTGAGAAGAGCATTAACCATATGCACACATGTAGGCTGTGCATTAAGACATTACTTGCATAAGGATATCTCTCTACTGTATCCTTTAACTCTACATAAATATGTATAAATGCAGACAATGCTCACATCAAACAACTTTAGTGCATATTGCATGTATTTGTCCTTAGACACATGTATAGCTCCCACTCTTTCAAGGATTTATGCATATGATACAATTTACTTGACAGCATAAGTTACACCGAAATTCTTGGAAGTACTCACAAGATGCAAAACATGCTTGAAAGTCTCTGCAGCATCTGGGCAATAATGTATATTACATTATATGGAAAAATGTCAAAGGCATAAACATCTGTGAGATTACATCACTTTTGCATAACAGGGAGATAAATTCTGCATAGTGATTCACAGAGTTTGCTTTTAGAAATTACTCAGATGAAGGAGGAAACTATATATTTGATAGGAAACTATATATTTGATAGGAACCTAGCACCTGAAGTGTAGTTTATTTAGCCTTCTACTCCTCAAATAAAAATGAAAGGTAAAAGCTTGCACGAAAGCAAAGCAATTACTGGATATGTTATCACTCATATTCCACAATCTTTCAACTTTTGATACATCAGGAAAGTATTTAGTACACATGAGGTATAACCTTTTTAGTCTATGCAAACAGCATTTACACACTTGTGACAACATGACCGATCTCTCAGCTCCTCTTCTCCCACCACCAGAAAGGACATTTATCCATCATGATCAACAGGAGTTGTGCTGCCATATACTCACCTCTGGATCACACTCAGGCTTATTTGGGACACTAGATGGCACAGGCCAAAATTGTCACATGTCACTAGTGAACCACCAGTTGCACATTGCTGCTCCAGACTCCTTAATTTACTAGTATAGCCATATCCTAAAAGCCCTTGTTATGAACCACAGCCCTGTTATTTTACGCACTGTACTAACCTCAACAAGTGGTTTCTGCCCTTTGAACGCAGCTACCCATGTGCTTGCTAAAACGGTACCATTACTGTAATAGATTTTTACAATGTACATAGGTTGCACCATTTGATACATGATCAAATTAAGAAGAATGACACCAAATCAACATGAGATATACTGAATTGCTAACACTCTGGCTTAATAATAGGCTTCAAAATGTAACTGTAGAAGGAAAATTGTCACTTAATGTGTTTCTAAGGGCAGTCTGGCCATAGAGGCTCACAAGCTGAGTGTCTTAATTGCCTTTCCAAACCATGCCCAAGCTCAGGCTTGAGCTCTGATTGCTGTGTGCTTGGCACTGTGTGAATCCACACAGCTTGCAGGAACGCAGCCTAAGCTCAAGCCAGTTCTCCCCAGGCACCAGTTTTGGAGCCCAGTGTCCCAGTCTGAAGCCAGAGGGTGAGGTGCAGGTAGGAAGTGTGGCTGATGAGGGACTGGGCTCAAGCCATGCTGCACTGATTAAGAAATGCAGGTCTATACATATTAGCCAAGTCTTCCTCTGCCATCTTGGGGCACTTGGTGGGAACATGAGAGTATTTACCAGGGCAGCTGCTGGAATCCAGAAACTGCTTTCTTTTTCTGATGCCTGTGTGGTTAAGCAAAAATCTAGAAAACATGGAGTACATGCATAGAAGAACCTGAGAAAGACACCCTAACACAACAGGCATGTTTCTAGAAAATATTATTATTTCTGAGTCAGAGTCAGGACTTCTGGAGATCCTGGGTCAGCAGTTCCAAAACCTGATGAGGGAGATAGTCCCAAAAAAAACTTTTTCTGGGAAGTTTTGTACATAGTAGCTAGGCTTCTGCTGGGTGCCACAGAGGGATCTGCTTGCTAACCCATACTTCAAACCACACATTTAGTCCACAGTGCTCCTGCCACTGACCACTGGCCGAACTGTTCAGACAAGAGCTCTTGCTGTCAAGTACCTCAGCCCAGAACCAAACTCCTGAAGGTGTTGAACAGTCCTGCAGATTCTACTGACTTTCCTAAGGTCACTTAATGAGCCAATACACACTGCAAGTAGGGCTTTACATAAACAGGTGGTTTAAGTGCTACCACTGTCCTTCTAAAAGATTCCCTTATGATACACAACTTTTATTACAAGAGATGCTATGAAAAGGATCCCAGAGAGAGCAACAAGGGTTGCCCCTCAGCATGGAAGGCCCAGAACAAGTACACTGTCACATTGTTTATTAGTTCCTAGTGGAGGGGAAGCAAGATGGAGAGAAAGCTTACTAAGAGGCAAGCTTGCACCAAATCTTTTTGAAGGTTCTTAGTATTTCTCCCTAATTTTGACTTCTTCTCAGTGCCACATGGATGGCAGCCAGGGTGAGTTATTTGTTCCACTGTAAACATCCCTCTCCAGGGGCTGACCAAAACTAATGATAGGCCTGAGCGGCAAAGCTCAGGGCTTGGACACGTCTGGATTGAGAGCTGTGATTTTGGATCTGCTCATTATGGAAAAAAGCAGGAGGTTTGGATCTGGTTCTATTTTTGCCTAAAGTTCAGCACTGAGTATTTCCAGTTAGAGACAGATAACATTAGTAGTGTCTCATATTAACCCTACAAAATCTGGTGAACTCAGCACTGGGACAAGTGACAGGCTAACATCTGTTTCTGCTACATCAGTTTGCATGGCACAAACCAAATCACATGGGAATGGAAACAACATGAGCCCTTAACTGTATCTTTTTGGCTCAGTCTGTTGCATGATTTACTTCAGAATACACAGAGGATAACTCTTGCTATAATATATACCGCAGTGCCTGCTCTACAAACTAAGAGCCGTTAGGGCCCAACACTGTTCTCAGCAGTTCCTCTAACATACTTTCCCTGGGCTAAGTCTGACTCAGATCAGAACCTGGCCCAAATACATGGATTTTGTGGGTTTAAAGTCAGGGCTTTGTTTAAAGTTTGACACAAGCTTTACTTAGTTTGTATCTTAAATAATTTGAATAATTAATTAATTGACTATTAACCATCTTTTAACTAAGCAAAACCATTTATTTTTGCATTTAAAAATAGCATGGAGAGTTTATTTTGTGTCAATATTTCCTAACAAGTAATTTAGATTCAGAGCTTTCAGGTTTTATTATAATTTTCTCTTGTCACTTTTGTGTAACGCTGACCTGATTGGTTAATAGCATAATTCAGACTTGACTTAAGACAGTTAACAAAGCCCTCAAAAAACTCCTTTGCTCTCCTTTAAGCAGTGTTCTGAACACAATCAAAACCTCCCCACCTCCTAAACTTTCAGACAGGAGACCACAGCGATACCTGGAGGTGTTACCCAGGCTGGTGGCAGGCAGTCTCTTACTGTGACACCCCTGGCAAACATCTGACTTAATTTGAGTGCTCCGAAATTCTTCCGCTTTGACCAAGTAGGAATTGAACCTCTAATCTGGTCACTGTGGCAATACTGACCTATGATGCACTTAATGCTATATACTACCATAAAAATGCAAGGACATTGTTTTTTATTTATGTTCTTCTCCTGGCAATGCTTCAGCAAATTTGAGGTGCTGGAATTTTAGTCACACCTAGCTCATGCTGTTTTAGCTTTATTTTGACTTATTTGGTCTATCTTCTCTAATTCTAAAATCTTCAGCTAAAAGAATCTGTGGCTTGGTAAACAGTTCACAAAGCAAACAAGCAAACAAATAAGCAAAACTCAAGTTTCCAAACCTCCACAGTGCGTCAATCCGTACAAGGTGTAGCCTTTATGGCAGAGACATTCAAAGCTTCCAGGGTAGTTGATACAGGTGTGATCACAGGTCCTTTCGAAGGAACACTCATCTATATCTGAATTAATAGGAAAATCATTAAGAAATTAGAATTCAGTTAAACAATGGCTGGAATTTCACATTCAGTTGCAACTTCTTGTTACTGATAAACCAGCAGATATAAGCCCAGGTAAAATCTGAATAAAACAGTCTTATTCCTCTAATGCCTTATAAAGAAAGGACTTGCAGATACCTGAAGAAAGGTAAGAAAAGAGAATTTAAGAAAAAATCATGAAGACGTCATTATATGTATTCACCATTAGATGGCAACCTTTAACTTCTGATCATATTTTCCCAGCAGGGCTTTAGGGGTATTAAGGTTTTGGGTGGTTAGTGACACAATGTGGAAAAGTTTTCATTTGAAGCAAGACATTCCCTCTTTCATTGACCATTTCTGACATCTTACCCACCAGGAGCAGGAGTTACTTGCAGAATTCTGCTCTGCCTATGCGAGACTGTACGGACAGTTGCACAGCTGCAAGGGGGTAAGCAAAATACTGCCTGAGAATGAGCCAGTATCAGGAATGGACAAGACCCTGGAAATGCACCTAAGACACAGGAAATCTTAGTCCAAAGTCCACATTCTACCTAACTCAAGAAAATTTGACCTCTTCCCCTTAAAAAAGTCAGGCATCTCTAACTGTCATTGCTCACTAATATGAAACCCTTATTTACATAGTCTCTTCCATCCAGCAGCCTATGAAGAAAGCAATTAACAGCACATTGCTTCAAAGATAGTACAAAGGTTTTGCTGAGCAGGGTGACATAAAGGTTTATTTGAGAACAGTCATCACAGAGTGGATGTGCTGAAAAACATTACATTAAAGGTACTTTAAATAGCAATCTTTGCAAAATAACAACATTTTTGAGTGAATTTTATCCTCAACTAATTTTCCTGGAATCCTCTTCAGTGATTAAATTTTTCTGTCAAAGGCTCAGAGAAATTAATACAATGGCATTATTTAAGAGTGGTGATTTCAACAATAATCACATTACTCTAATGTTTCTGAGGCATAAATGAATGGAATAGTATTCCTTTAATAGCTTGCACACTTTCTAGAGTTGCTTATTAATAACATAGCCCGAGCAGCAGCACCATTGCTATATATAACTTGGACTTTCATAATGTACATGCTTAGAAAGATGTGTGTGCTTGAAAAAACATGGAAATTCACGAATACTTAAGGGTGTGCTACCCAATTCCTATATTCAAGTATTATTTATATAGTTTTGAAGTTCAGTGAAACATTCTAGGTCTTACTGTGCTTTTATAAATGCAAATACTTAACTTCAAGAAACATAAAATTAAGATTTTGTGTATGTGTATGCAAATCCAAAATCTGTGTAAAGAGTTTATGCACAAATTTAGAATGTTGTAAACAGCTATATTTTATATGATCTCCAATTTTAAGTGTTTCAAAATATTCACACAAAAGAGAATTCACAATGTGGAAAGCAACCCTTTGGGCAAACGTATAACATGAAATGAAATATACATGATGACCAAAAATCTATGCTATCTGGTTTTGTGTGCACCACAATCACTTGTTATGATCAAGCAGCAAGAAAAGAGACAACTGAGATTTTTATCTTTTTTACATCTATTTCATTTTTAATGCCTTTTCCTAGGCATTTAAAAATATCATTATTTGAGTTCTGAAAGTAATATCTTCTTAAGGTTTCCTTTACAGTCTTGGAAGTATGCAGCTTTTGAATACACATAAATTGCAAACTGTTTCAGATTTCTCTAAATAAATACATAAAGTAAAATCCTTTGGGAATGAACACTGCAGTTATAGTTTTAAAGGATTTTTAATGCATAAGAAGCCAAATCATACATCATAGTTTCATTCACGTGTAACCTTGTTCATTATATGGTATTGCAGGAAATTTACAAAAGCAGTTCTTTTTCTGGCCTCTGGCTTACCTTGGAAGGCTCTTTTTAAAAAATAATTTCATATTTCTCAATAGTGATCTTATCCTGTACTAGTGTAGTCAATAGGTTTTATGCATTGCTTTTACACATACTGCTTTGTGTTGTTATATATTATGGCTTTGTCCTTTACAGGTTTTTCTTCACATTAAGAAGGATGCATATCCCTCTTTGCCCATGGAAACAACAGTCTGCCTAATAATATGACCAGTCATCTGCTTGCCAAGTAACAGGCACTCATGATGCACAAACGCATTACACAAAATATCAGCTACTCTAAACTTGTATTGCTTACACTGGCTGTCAGAGATGCTGAAACAAACACTTTTTATTATAAAACAAAGACTGCTATTAAAAGCTTTTTCACCATTTAAACCCCTCATCCCACCTCCTGCTGCTCTTCTCATAAATGCAACCTTTGCTGAATTCAGCATCTTGCTTGGGCTGATCAAACACGGAAAGCCTCCACACAGATTTTTCCTTGCTTGATACCAAGCTCCTCTGCCCCCTCTCTTCCTTGCCTGTGGAGGGTAGGGCTAGGCACTGCCCGAGGGACCGAGCTTTCTGCAGCACCCTGTCTGCAGAATCACCAGTTCCCTGAGGAATTCAGCACTAGTCATAGAAAAGGGAAAAATATGCACCACATACTCTTCACTAAAAGAAACCAGTGGTGTGATACAGGATGCTGAAATCCTCCTGCACTTTTTTTTTTTTAATTTTTTTTTTTTTTTTTAACTCTGAAATCTGTGATCTGGGTGCTGTTATCCCTTGGCTCCCAGAAACTTTGAAGCTGGTCCTCCCATCTTCGTGGTGCTCCACGACACTTCTCCATATTTAGCCTGAAAGGATGTGCTTATTTCCCACCACACTCATGATAGAGGTATAGCTGGTAAGAGACTAAGGAGCAACTGTTTTCACCTTCACAGCCCTAGGTTTCAAATCCTGTTTACCGCACAACTGGGAATGCACACAGGCATCTAAATCTTGTCTCCTCTGTACAAACAACATTACACAATCTGCTATATCTACTGAGGAGAAGCCCAAAAATACAAAAGCAGAGATGTGGCAGGTTGCAGCTAGAGAACAGAGAGCAAATAATTGCTCTTTCAGTTTTATGGTCAACCCTCATCCCCAAACGTGTACACACTCAAACACACATACATTTTCGTATTGGCTTGTTCTGAATTTTCCCACTCCCACACACCAACAAAACCCCTGAGAAATGAACTTGCTGGGTCTGAGGTGCCCTTAAAGCAAGTTAAAGACATTTAAATTAAGTTTTCGAACTGTTTTAACATGAAAAGTCAAAATGTTTTGTTTTCGAGGAACTGCAGTGGAAAACTCCAACTCGAGGTTGAATTCTCTATTCTATTTTTAGTTGAATTTGGCATGAATTCACAAATAGTCCAAGCTGTTTCAGAACATTTCAGATTTGCTAATGCACTTATTTGACATCAAACACATTCTTTCTACTTTCACTTAGTCAAAAATTCATATCACATTCACCACTGTAATCAGCATATGCAATTGTGTCATTTCAGCATATTAAGAGACATCTTCACAGTTTAACTGTTTGAAGCTTATAGGAGCTATGGGGCTAAATTAATCTCCAGTAGCAGATAATCAGCTTCCTGCCAGAGGCAGGGTTTTTTTAGGTTTACTAATGGTAGCATATAAATTCTAAGATGAGGCCTTCCCTATTTCACAGCAGATGACCCTTTGGAAGTGTCAAGTTCAGAGGCTGGAGCAGATGATGTCCAGAGGTCCCTTCCAATCTCCACCACTGATCCACGTGCACACTGGCAGTCCCAGCCCGCTCTAAAGGCACTCTCTTTATGGTGTCCTGTGCTGCTGAGAACTCTCCTGCCATTCGCTGTTTCCATGACATCAAGGCATCATCTCAGGCTGAATAAAGTCCAGCATCTCTTCTATCAATCCACGTTCTCAACTCCAAAATGAATGTTTGAACAGTGGAAGCACTCCTTTATTTTTGCCTAGAGGGGATTCAGCTTGAAGAGATTGTTCAATGGTTTAATAAAAGAACAGGATTTCCCTGTGTTTTTGAGGGAAGCAATTGTTGCCAGCAGCAGTCATGCTTGATAATTTTTATTTGGCTCTGTTCCTATTATTTCAAGTCAGCGTTTGGATTTTATTGTTGCTTTTTCAATCATACTTAGCATTTTTTTTTTTTTTTAGTTCATGCATTAAACAATCCCATAATGATCTTTACTTTTTTTCAATATAATGTTTGTTAGTGGGTGTCAGATTGTCAGTACTGGAAAGTAAATTCTTCCATCTATCTCCAGAAGGGGAGCTCCCACAGATCAAATTTCTTCTAAGTTCCCTCACACAGAGGTGTCTCAAAGGTGACCTGAGGGAGCAGGGAGAAAGCAGCTCATTTTCCATGCTCATTCAAGTCCCTGCCCTTTCCACTGATGCTGCCAGGAGACTCCCAGTTACAGTAGCAGCAATTGTTCTGGTGGTTTGTGTGATGTGGACACTGACTCATTTGTGGACACAGAGTGCAGGGCACCAAGAAGCCATCACACTGTAATGATTTTTGCTAAGTCTGAAACGGAGCTGGACTCCTACCAGCAGCTCTGAAGTGAAAGGCTCCTTTCTGTACTCAGTTTCCAGTCCTCAAATGTAGCTCCATGTATTCTTGATGGTCATTGCTTTCTTCTCTAAAATAAATTTCAGAGTAATTAAAAGAAACCAGTGATCAAGAAATTAAAGTGCAACACAGGACATTTCCAAAAGGCACTAGTGTTGTAAGCAAACAGCTCAACACTAAACATATACAGGTGAGGCTGGTAAACAGCACTGGATTCAGAGGTGTTTTGAGGACTGCAAACTGATGTAGGAACTGCTGTGACTCCCTGACAGCATGTACACATGCAAAATTCACTTGCATAGAGGTACATGTATGATTTGGGGTTTGTGGCCATACAACTGGACAATTAAATGCCCAGTTCTCCCAATCTCACATTAAAAATTTACTGCAAAAATAAGGATTCCCCCCTGTCTTTCACTAATGGTAATCACAACAGCTTTTCTCTGAGACATACATTAAGTTAATGTATGAA